ATTCTTCTGTAGCCAATTCTGCGCGTTCAGAATGTGCTAGCAAGACCGGCGTTGAATGTGTTTGGAATCCTGTAATCGTTTTTGGTCGCCCAGCTTGTCCTACTATATCTACAGCCTTTAGGCATAATAAATAAATGCATTATTAACATAGTGTCAAGATTAACGCCTTTAGCCAATATTGGTATCTGATAGAATTAAGCTTGTTAATAACAAATAATGTAAAACTATAAACATTACCTGTCCCACACGAACGGTCACAGGCAAGCTACTCAAATTTTCGTCAAGCGTAATTAAAAATCTAGGATACATTGAAGTTACCAGGTAATATAAAAACCAATGATATCTGCCCAGTATCACTAAAACAGGGTGAAGTGTTAAAAATAAATCTTTATCATCTCAGAATGATTATGAAAAAGGAACTCACGCATTTTAACATCCGTGAAAGCAATTAGTGTTGTTAAGAGACCAGCTATTCCGACAGGTGACATTAATTGTCGATCAGAATGATACGGGTTAATCGATATTGTCCCTTTGCCCATATGTAACAATCCCTATTTATTTAACACAATTAACACAATTAACACAAGGATGTTTACATTAATCTATATTAACTTTTATTAATTCAATATAAATTTTTTACCTGTGCAATTCGAACCATAAATAAACAATTGGGTTCTTTATGGTAATATGATGCCAATTGTCTCAACATCTGTGCCAATCTTGCATTATTCGTTCCTGCACCAACAAGACCCATAGCAAATATCGCGTTAATAGCAACATCTGTATCATTTTCGTGAGAATATTTACTAAGTGTTTCTAAAACACTGAGCAAAGGATTGGATGCACAAAGCAAGCCTATTGCAAGGGGAACTGCGCGACGAATAACAGGTTCACCATAATGCATCTATTCAATAAATAAACGATCGTTAGGACAACTGGGCATTCTCGGGAAACTAGTTTCTTTACAAGTATGGATATACATATTTCCAATATAACTTGTAGAGCATACCAAATGGTTAAATGACCTTAATGCCATCTCAGCACCAATATCTTCACCCATGGCTATCAATGCTACACCTAAGACAGCAAAAGCTTGATACAAATCATCCTCTTTGTCTTTATCTAAATGATCATTACAAAGATGCAACATATTCTGCACTTTAAGCACATTTCCAGTCCCTGAAAAAGTTCAAACTCTATGAGTATTTAATTAATATCGTTAAAATTTACAATTAATTTAGTAACATACCTGCATATGAACAAATTTCAACTAGAACTGCGACCTGCTTGCTAAGAGGATGTTCTATAGCCTTCAAAGTTTCTAAAGTCACTTCTGCAGCATCTTGTTTACCTATTTACCAAAAATGATTACAGGATTCCAAACACATTCAACGCCGGTCTTGCTAGCACATTCTGAACGCGCAGAATTGGCTACAGAAGAAT